TATTAGCGGCGCAGCACATGTCAGCACTGAGAGAGTGGTAGTGGTGCGCTTTGAACTAGAACATGTTCAATGTGCTTTAATTCAAAGTGCACTACTGCCATTTTCGCAGCTCTGATGTGTGCTGCGCCACTGATGCATTTGTTCCTGATGCAGCGCCAGGCACTTCTAATTAGCTCAGCTCGCTAATTAAAGGTGCCCGGTGCTGCATCAGAAATGCATGTAAAAATGCCTAAAGAGACTCATTGGCAACAATTATAAACATTTTGGGGAGGTTGGTTGCATGTATGTCTCAAAATAGCATAAAATCCTGTAATAACGAAAGGATGAAATGCAAGGTTCCTGGATTTGTGTAAGAAATTTGCTTGGCTGTCTGCATATTTTCCCTATGGCAAATGGTAGCATCACTTTTTGCAGTCAGTTGCCTCCCCACAAACAATTGGAGTCAGGTTAATCTAGACTTGCAGTTGCTTGTTAAAACAATTAAGGACTTATTTATTTGGGGTTGTTTTTCTGAGTTCAGATTTTCACTTAATAAATCTGGAATGATACTACTTCTAGTTAACATGTTCGGTTTTTAGCTGTGGGATCTGCTTTAAGACATGATTAATTAATTAAAAATTGAGAACCTAACTTTCTGTGCCTTGAGGCCAGGATGGGGAAGCATAAATCAGCACAATATCAGAACATGCCAGAAGATAGTGTCAACCACGGGTAGCATACATTTCTTAACAATTAAAATCCATTCTAACATAGTCATGAACTGCTTTGGGAAAATAGGAAGATTTCTTTGAAAAAAACATTTCAATTTTTAAGCTTTTTCTAAGCAAAGAGACAGTTTTCATATTCTAGTTACATAGTCCTGGTTGTTCCCTTTTGCCATATTCTGAATATGCCAGTAACTAACTCCATCAAATCCTTAAGCTTCTGTAAAGCTGACCTTTTTTTAAAAAAAAAAATAAAAATAAAAGTTTGTAAATAAATGTAAAATGAAGCAAAACTATGGAAAATCATATACCAAAGTGGTATAAACTGTGTAAGATAAATGCTCTGTTTAATGAGAAGCTGTAAATATGGGGCTGCTTTGAGAAGGTATGCAGGGGGATATCTGTTAGTATTCTTTATGCGATTTGGGGAAACTGCTAGTGACAACAAATCATTCATTTACCTGGGAAATCTTTCATCCTGGTATGGCATACAAAGCAAACTTAATAAATGTTTACTTTCAGCAAAAGGGTGCTGAGAAACTTGGAAGACTTCATGTGCACAATAAAATCTCTGTTAAATATGTTCATAAATAAAGTTTTATACTATATATTTAGTGTATTTGGGTGCCATTTTCCTTCTAGTTGATGAAATAGCCTAGCATTGCCTTTTTCTATTCCTCTGTCTTCCACATAATGTAGAAACTTGATATGTAGAAAGGGATTGACTTGAGCGTCTTACCTACTTGCCACAGTTGAAACTGTCCTAGCAAGAGTTTACACTTCTAAGGTGCCTATACACATGCTCTGACACATTCTAATTACAATGCTCTAGCATCGCTGCAGTGTCGTGTATAAGCCCCCACGGGTTTAAAAATGGCTACTGGGAAACTTTAACTAAAGCTTGTTGAATGTGCTGTAGTTAAAGCATCTCACAGCCATTTTTAAACATTCATGGATTTAATACGTGTGACGCTGTGGTGTTTTTTAATTAGAGCAGCTCTGGAAACTACTTTAATTAAAGTGCTCCCCTCTGCCTCCCTCTCTCCCCCCAGCACATTTATAGGCACCCCTAGTGTTTAATAGTTACCTGCCGGTCTTCACAGAAACCCCAGCCCCATGCTATCATGTTCATGCAGCTGCTGCTAGTTTTCACAAAAAGTGGCTCTAGCCATGCAGGCAGGGGCTGCTGGGACATATAGTTTGGCTGCCAGCTGGATCCACAGTTGTGCTCACCTCTGCTTCCTTTAAGAAGGAAACTGAATAAGTGGCAACCCATGAGCATTTGAGGGAGGCAATGATGAACTGGGGTGGGATGGACAATATTTACACCTTACCCGTACATCATGACATCTCTCGCCACCCAGCAGTAGCAAAGGAATATGTCATATTCACATATAACTGGGTCCCCACCATTATAGAGTAGCATTCTTGGTAGGTTAGGGTAACTAGCAGGCTCCCAAAAATGCCTGCAATCATGGCATGATTCAGCCAACAGAGACAACAGCAGCAGCAGGACCCAGAGCAAGCTGAGTGGTAGTTTCCTTCTGGCGGAGTTTTTCTCTGGCTGTGAAAGTGTAAATAAGGAGGGTGGTAGCCTGTATCAGTGCAGTTGGTCTATTTTCCTGAGAAGAAAGTCAGACCTATGATACTGCTTAAATTCACAATGGGGACTGAAGTACCCACTAGCCCCAGCATGTAGATGAGAATTATGTTCTTACATCCTTTGCTCCTTAACACTGTAGACACCTAGGTTTCAACCTCCCCCCAGGATGCACAGTGCCACCGGCACACATGTACAGAACAGCCTAATTCTTGATGGTACCAAACTACTCAGTGGGTCTTGCCTGTGGCCCTAAATAAAGACAATTCAGGACTGTGTGTGTACTTTATACCTGGTTATGGCACTCCCACTTCAAAACCACCCTCTGTGCGACTTGGAATAGGAAGGTGAACCCAGAGGTCTTATTTCCCAGGACTGTGTCCCAAACATGCCTAGATCATACCTGGGGACAAAAGTCAATCTTACCTATTGAAGATATTCCACTTTGTCTAAAATATTAAGTAGAACAGAATTTCTACAATCCGGGTCTCCCAATTCACTGTCAAAAATAGCAAACAATAGGAAGGTTCTTTGGGTCGATGCGATATCTTTTATTAGACCAACTGAGTAGTTGGGGAACAAGTTCTTAGCAAGCTTTTGGGCACAATCACCCTTTGTCAGGTATAGGGTGGTCTGAGACTCCAAGGAATGAGAGAAGATAAAAGTGTGGAGGGATGTCAGTGAAAATTTAAATAGGTAGAGATAATCAAGACAAAAGGAAAAACAGGGAGGGGGAAGAGAGCAGGAGGGGAAAAAGTCAGGGAGACATAAAATACAAAGTGAAAAAGAGGCAGTCTGAAAAAGGGAATAGGTGAAGATCTGGGCAGGGGGAAGGAAACGGGACAAAAAGCCCAAAGGGAAAACACTACAGAGATAATAATACAAGGTAAAAAAAAAGGCTAGCTATAAAGAGGATCAAGCAGTAGCATCACTCTTGCTGTCTCTGGTCAAATGAATATTCAAATACTAAGCATAGTTACATTACACATTACGTTATGGCTGCATACTAGGGCTGTACGAAGCTTCGGTCCCCGATTTGATAGAGATTTGGCCTGATTCAGTAGCCAAATCTCTGAATCTGAATTTAATCAGAGACCCCTTAATCTCTCTGAATCAAATCAGAACCCTCCAAATCGATTTGGAGAGATTTGGTGATTTGGACATAGATACAGCTTTAAATGTTTTTTCTACATACGTCTAGGTAGCAGGTGGCTCACGAATGCTGCAATGCTGGGGCACATGGAGCGTCCCACAGACCCATAGGTGGACCAG